GCTGCTGGTAAAGACTCAGACAGAGGTGTGAACCTACTGTCAGCTGCTGGTAAAGACTCAGACAGAGGTTGTGTAACCTACTGTAGCTGCTGGTAAAGACTCAGACAGAGGTGTGTAGCCTACGTAGCGGCTGGTAAAGAACCAGACAGTAGGTGTGGTACTGCGGTAAAAGACTCAGACAGAGTGTGTAGCCTACTGTAGCTGCTGGTAAAGACTCAGACAGAGGTGTGTAAGCCTACTGTAGCTGCTGGTAAAGACTCAGACAGAGGTGTGTAGCCTACTGTAGCTGCTGGTAAAGACTCAGACAGAGGGTGGAAACCTACTGTAGCTGCTGGTAAAGACTCAGACAGAGGTGTGTAACCTACTGTAAGCTGCTGGTAAAGACTCAGACAGAGGTGTGTAACCTACTGTAGCTGCTGGTAAAGACTCGACAGAGGTGTGTAACCTACTGTAGCTTGCTGGTAAAGACTCAGACAGAGGTGTGTAGCCTACTGTAGCTGCTGGTAAGACTCAGCCAGAGGTGTGTAACCTACTGTAGCTGCTGGTAAAGACTCAGACTGAGGTGTGTACCTACTGTATGCTGCTGGTAAAGACTCAGACAGAGTGTGTACCTACTGTAGCTGCTGGTAAAGACTCAGACAGAGGTTGTAGCTGCTGGTAAAGACTCAGACAGAGGTGTGTAGCCTACTGTAGCTACTGGTAAAGACTCAGACAGAGGTGTGTAACTACTGTAGCTGCTGGTAAAGACTCAGACAGAGGTGTGTACTGCTGGTAAAGACTCGGACAGAGGTGTGTAACCTACTGTGCTGCTGGTAAGACTCAACAGAGGTTGTAGCCTACTGTAGCTGCTGGTAAAGACTCAGACAGAGGTGTGTAGCTGCTGGTAAAGACTCAGACAGAGGTGTGTAGCCTACTGTAGCTGCTGGTAAAGACTCAGACAGAGGTGGAACCTACTGTAGCTGCTGGTAAAGACTCAGACAGAGGTGTGTAACCTACTGTAGCTGCTGGTAAAGACTCAGACAGAGGTGTGTAACCTACTGTAGCTGCTGGTAAAGACTCAGACAGAGGTGTGTAACCTACTGTAGCTGCTGGTAAAGACTCAGACAGAGGTGTGTAGCCTACTGTAGCTGCTGGTAAAGACTCAGACAGAGGTGGAACCTACTGTAGCTGCTGGTAAAGACCTCAGACAGAGGTGTGTAACCTACTGTAGCTGCTGGTAAAGACTCAGACAGAGGTGTGTAAACCTACTGTAGCTGCTGGTAAAGACTCAGACAGAGGTGTGTAACCTACTGTACTGCTGGTAAAGACTCAGACAGAGGTGTTGTAACCTACTGTAGCTGCTGGTAAAGACTCAGACAGAGGTGTGTATCCTACGTATCTGCTGGTAAAGACTCAGACAGAGGTGTGTAACCTACTGTAGCTGCTGGTAACGACTCAGACAGAGTGTGTAACCTACTGTAGCTGCTGGTAAAGACTCAGAAGAGGTGTGTAGCCTGCCTGGTAAAGACTCAGACAGAGGTGTGTTAAGCCTACTGTAGCTGCTGGTAAAGACTCAGACAGAGGTGGTTGTACCTACTGTAGCTGCTGGTAAAAGACTCAGACAGAGGTGTGTAGCCTGACTGTAGCTGCTGGTAAAGACTCAGACAGAGGTGTGTAGCCTACTGTAGCTGCTGGTAAAGACTCAAACAGAGGGTGAACCTACTGTAGCTGCTGGTAAAGACTCAGACAGAGGTGTGTAACCTACTGTAGCTTGCTGGTAAAGACCAGACAGAGGTGTGTAACCTACTGTAGCTGCTGGTAAAGACTCAGACAGAGTGGTGTAACCTACTGTAGCTTGCTGGTAAAGACTCAGACAGAGGTGTTAGCCTACTGTAGCTGCTGTGTAAAGACTCAGACAGAGGTGTGTAACCTACTGTAGCTGCTGGTAAAGACTCAGACGAGGTGTGTAACCTACTGTAGCTGCTGGTAAAAGACTCAGACATAGGTGTGTAGCTGCTGGTAAAGAACTCAGACAGAGGTGTGTAACCTACTGTAGCTGCTGGGTAAAGACTCAGACAGAGGTGTTAGCCTACTGTAGCTGCTGGTAAAGACTCAAGACATAGGTGTGTAACCTACTGGAGCTGCTGGTAAGACTCAGCAGAGGTGTGTAACCTACTGTAGCTGCTGGTAAAGACTCAGACAGAGGTGTTGTAACCTACTGTAGCTGCTGGTAAAGACCCAGACAGAGGTGTGTACTGCTGGTAAAGACTCAGACAGAGGTGTGTAACCTACTGTAGCTGCTGGGTAAAGACTCAGACAGAGGTGTGTAGCCTACTGTAGCTGCTGGTAAAGACTCAGACAGAGGTGTGTAACCTACTGTAGCTGCTGGTAAAGACCTCAGACAGAGGTGTGTAACCTACTGTAGCTGCTGGTAAAGACTCAGACAGAGGTGTGTACCTACTGTAGCTGCTGGTAAAGACTCAGACAGAGGTGTGTAGCCTACTGTAGCTGCTGGTAAAGACTCAGACAGAGGTGTGGTAACCTAACTGTAGCTGCTGGTAAAGACTCAGACAGAGGTGTGTAACCTACTGTAAGCTGCTGGTAAAGACTCAGACAGAGGGTGTAGCCTACTGTAGCTGCTGGTAAAGACTCAGACAGAGGTGTGTAACCTACTGTAGCTGCTGGTAAAGACTCAGACAGAGGTGGTGTACCCTACTGTACTGCTTGGTAAAGACTCAGACAGAGGTGTGTAGCTGCTGGTAAAGACTCAGACAGAGGTGTGTAGCCTACTGTAGCTGCTGGTAAAGACTCAGACAGAGGTGTGTAACCTACTGTAGCTGCTGGTAAAGACTCAGACAGAGGTGTGTAGTCTACTGTAGCTGCCGGTAAAGACTCAGACTGAGGTGTGTAACCTACTGTAGCTGCTGGTAAAGACTCAGACAGAGGTGTGTAGCCTACTGTAGCTGCTGGTAAAGACTCAGACAGAGGTGTGTGTAGCCTACTGTAGCTGCTGGTAAAGACTCAGACAGAGGTGTGTAGCCTACTGTAGCTGCTGGTAAAGACTCAGACAGAGGTGTGTAACCTACTGTAGCTGCTGGTCTGGTAAAGACTCAGACAGAGGTGTGTAACCTACTGTAGCTGCTGGTAAAGACTCAGACAGAGGTGTGTAGCCTACTGTAGCTGCTGGTAAAGACTCAGACAGAGGTGTGTAGCCTACTGTAGCTGCTGGTAAAGACTCAGACAGAGGTGTGTAACCTACTGTAGCTGCTGGTAAAGACTCAGACTGAGGTGTGTAACCTACTGTAGCTGCTGGTAAAGACTCAGACAGAGGTGTGTAGCCTACTGTAGCTGCCGGTAAAGACTCAGACAGAGGTGTGTAACCTACTGTAGCTGCCGGTAAAGACTCAGACAGGTGTGTAACCTACTGTAGCTGCCGGTAAAGACTCAGACAGAGGTGTGTAACCTACTGTAGCTGCCGGTAAAGACTCAGACAGAGGTGTGTAACCTACTGTAGCTGCTGGTAAAGACTCAGACAGAGTGTGTGTAACCTACTGTAGCTGCTGGTAAAGACTCAGACAGGTGTGTAACTGCTGTAAAGACTCAGACAGAGGTGTACCTACTGTAGCTGCTGGTAAAGACTCAGACAGAGGGTGTAACCTACTGTAGCTGCCGGTAAAGACTCAGACTGAGGTGTGTAACCTACTGTAGCTGCTGGTAAAGACTCAGACAGAGGTGTGTAACCTACTGTAGCTGCTGGTAAAGACTCAGACAGAGGTGTGTAACCTACTGTAGCTGCTGGTAAAGACTCAGACAGAGGTGTGTAACCTACTGTAGCTGCTGGTAAAGACTCAGACAGAGGTGTGTACCTACTGTAGCTGCTGGTAAAGACTCAGACAGAGGTGTGTAACCTACTGTAGCTGCTGGTAAAGACTCAGACAGAGGTGTTTAGCTGCTGGTAAAGACTCAGACAGAGGTGTGTAGTTGCTGGTAAAGACTCAGACAGAGGTGTGTAACCTACTGTAGCTGCTGGTAAAGACTCAGACAGAGGTGTGTAGCTGCTGGTAAGACCAGACAGAGGTTGTAGCTGCTGGTAAAGACTCAGACAGAGGTTTGGTAACCTACTGTAGCTGCTGTAAAGACTCAGACAGAAGGTGTTGTAACCTACTGTAGCTGCTGGTAAAGACTCAAGACAGAGGTGTGTAACCTACTGTAGCTGCTGGTAAAGACTCAGACAGAGGTGTGTAACCTACTCTAGCTGCTGGTAAGACTAAGACAGAGGTGTGTAGCTGCTGGTAAACACTCAGACAGAGGTGTGAAACCTACTGTAGCTGCTGGTAAAGACTCAGACAGAGGTGTGTAGCTGCTGGTAAGACTCGACAGAGGTGGTGTAACCTACTGTTAGCTGCTGGTAAAGACTCAGACAGAGGTGTTAACCTACTGTTAGCTGCTGGTAAAGACTCAGACAGAGGTGTGTAGCCTACTGTAGCTGCTGGTAAAGACTCAGACAGAGGTGTGTAGCCTACTGTAGCTGTGGTAAAGACTCAGACAGAGGTGTGTAGGCGGTAAAGCTAGACAGAGGTGGTAAAGGACTCAGACAGAGGTGTGTAACCTACTGTAGCTGCTGGTAAAGACTCAGACAGAGGTGTGTAGCTGCTGGTAAAGACTCAGACAGAGGTGTGTAGTTGCTGGTAAAGACTCAGACAGAGGTGTGTAGTTGCTGGTAAAGACTCAGACAGAGGTGTGTAACCTACTGTAGCTGCTGGTAAAGACTCAGACAGAGGTGTGTAACCTACTGTAGCTGCTGGTAAAGACTCAGACAGAGTGTGTAGCCTACTGTAGCTGCTGGTAAAGACTCAGACAGAGGTGTGTAACCTACTGTAGCTGCTGGTAAAGACTCAGACAGAGGTGGTGTAACCTACTGTAGCTGCTGGTAAAGACTCAGACAGAGGTGTGTAGCCTACTGTAGCTGCTGGTAAAGACTCAGACAGAGGTGTGTAGCCTACTGTAGCTGCTGGTAAAGACTCAGACAGAGTGTGTAGCTGCTGGTAAAGACTCAGACAGAGGTGTGTAACCTACTGTAGCTGCTGGTAAAGACTCAGACAGAGGTGTGTAACCTACTGTAGCTGCTGGTAAAGACTCAGACAGAGGTGTGTAACCTACTGTAGCTGCTGGTAAAGACTCAGACAGAGGTGTGTAGCTGCTGGTAAAGACTCAGACAGAGGTGTGTAACCTACTGTAGCTGCTGGTAAAGACTCAGACAGAGGTGTGTAACCTACTGTAGCTGCTGGTAAAGACTCAGACAGAGGTGTGTAACCTACTGTAGCTGCTGGTAAAGACTCAGACAGAGGTGTGTAGCTGCTGGTAAAGACTCAGACAGAGGTGTGTAGCCTACTGTAGCTGCTGGTAAAGACTCAGACAGAGGTGTGTAACCTACTGTAGCTGCTGGTAAAGACTCAGACAGAGGTGTGTACCTACTGTAGCTGCTGGTAAAGACTCAGACAGAGGTGTGTAGCTGCTGGTAAAGACTCAGACAGAGGTGTGTAACCTAATGTAGCTGCTGGTAAAGTCATTCAAAGCCTCTACTTTATCGCTCAGGATGAAACTTTCCACTGCTACTATTTTGGCCTTGTAATGTTATTGAACTGAACCAGACAACCCCATAGTAGAATAGTTGGCCTGTTTACCTAGTCGACTTGTTTACCTAGTCCCGAGTGGCGCAGTGGTCTAAGGCACTGCATCGCAGTGCTAGCTGTGCCACTAGAGATCCTGGTTCGAATCCAGGCTCTGTCGTAGCCGGCTGCGACCGGGAGACCCATGGGGCGGCGCACAAGGGTAGGGGAGGGAATGGCCGGCAGGGTTGTAGCTCAGTTGGTAGGGCATGGCGTTTGCAATGCCAGGGTTGTGGGTTCGATTCCCACGGGGGGTATGAAAAAAATATATATATGTATGCACTCACTAACTGTAAGTCGCTCTGGATAAGAGCGTCTGCTAAATGACTAAAATGTAATGTAAATGTGTTCTATGCAAGATAAATATTCCTCTTGAGGCGCATTCAAGTTGCGAGAGCCATAGGGAGGGAAACGTATTCTGATGAGCAGTTTTAAAAAGATCCCAGTTTTATATTACTACCATGTTTAGTTGGCATGGTTTAGGCTCGGCTGTGATCTTAAAGGGGCAGTGTCGTCTTAAAGGGGCAGTGTCGTCTTAAAGGGGCAGTGTCGTCTTAAAGGGGCAGTGACATACTTTGTAATAGAAACAAAAAAAAGTGAATGATAATTATTTTTATATTCATGTTTGTAATAAAATAATGAACAATAATACCAATCAGGATGTTGTGTCCAATGGGGTAAATGCAGATGGACAAACCTCATGCTTCAGCTTTATGTACATTTTATAACCACTCTGCTACATCAGTTGGGCTACAGGTCATAAGGTATAATATGTATAACCATGCATAGGCTATATGCACATGGTCCAATATGTTCAAATCATTTTTACCAATATGTTATTGGGCCAATTTCTGGAGGTGGAAATGATATTTTAGATGGTGTCAGTATCCATTTATTTTAATACATTTTTTAGTAGAATGTCCTTTTAAAAAGTCACCCGAACTTCTCAGTCCTTAAGCATCAAAATGATCATGACCCTGGACCCCCTAAGCAAGGAGACTGGAATTGGTCAAACTCACATTTTAGTACATGAACATGATCCTCTTTCCCTAAAAAGCATGATGGGCTTTACATGAAAGGGGAGGTTAACTTGGCCCCAGACAATCGATCTGAGATCGACTTAAGTTTCAGTCATGGGATTTGTTTTTGTGGGGGTAATAAGGCTTAACTGACCGAGGCTGACTTGTTGTTATGATGTCATCAGAACAACCAGGCGGACCTGGAGAACTGTACAGAGACGTTGTCTGGATACCTGGAGAGGGACATTTCCCAGGATTCCTTGCAGGATATCAAGCAGAAAGTACAGGACAAATGCAGGTGGGTCAGAGAAAGATACAGAAGCCCTCTCAACTGAAAAATGTATTTCTCATGATGTTTTGATATCGTCATGAAGAAGACGTTTTTACCTGGTTGTAACAGAGACCAGTAGGTTGTTAAATTACGTCTTCACAATTAAAGCTGCAACTGCATTGCCAGGGTCCAGCTGTGTGACCACTGTGACACCATCAGGACAAATTGGACACATTGCCCTAAGATGAGCTGCTTCTGTACTGTTTACCACGCTTGCCAAATATCAGAACTCAACATCGAAAAAAACAGTGCCTTCAGAAAGTATTCATGCCCCTTGACATATTCCACATTTTCTTGTGTTCCTGAATTCAAAATGGATTAAATATGTTTATTGCTCTCACCCATCTACACCCATAATGACAAAGTGAAAACATGTTTTTTGAAATTTTGGCAAATGTATTGAAAATGAAATACAGAAATATCTAATTTACGTAAGTATTCACACCCCTGAGTCAATACTTTGTAGAAGCACCTTTGGCAGTGATTACAGCTGTCTTGTTATTATTTAATTTTTTTAAATAGGCGCTTACTACAGTAAATTTTTTTTTATTGAACCTCTTTGAGATGGGAAAACATGTTTTTAAGTTGAACATATAGTCTTTTGACAATGTTAAAATTAGGTGAAATCATTCCTGAACCTGCAACAAAAAACAAGCTACATATGGACAATACAAAAACAAATGATCTAATGATTCTGTCTCTTCAAGTGGATTTTCAAGTAGATTTAAGTCAAAACTGTAACTCGGCCACTCAGGAACATTGAATGTCTTATTGGTAAGCAACTCTAGTGTATATTTGGCCTTGTGTTTTAGGTTATTGTCCTGCTGAAAGGTGAATAAAACTCCCAGTGTCTGTTGGAAAGCAGACTGAACCAGGTTTTCCTCTAGGATTTTGCCTGTGCTTAGCTCCATTCCGTTTATTTTTAACCCTGAAAAACTCCCAGTCCTTAACGATTACAATCATACCCATAACATGATGCAGCCACCACTATGCTTGAAAATATGGAGAGTGGGACTCATAATGTGTTGTATTGGATTTTCCCCAAACAGGATGCATGTTTTGGAATATTTTTTATTCTGCACAGCAGGGATCATCAACTAGATTCAGCCGCGAGACAATTTTTTTGTTGAGCGGATGTTCGAGGGGCCGGAACATAATTACAAATAATTTGACCTCAAGAAGACCAAACCGATATAATGTTTGACTAAAACATAATCATTTCAAACCTTGCTTACATTTGTATACAATCACGTGTTGCATCCTCCTAGGCTTTACCATCTCACATTAAAATGTTTCATTTCGGATGAAAAGTAATAATGAACAGGAACAGATTAGAACACCAGGCCCGGGCTGAACCAAATACAATCAGGTTTTATACCTGGCCCGGGCTGAACCAAATACAATCGGGTTTTACAAGTTTCGCTGCTGAACCCCGAATTAGAAAATGACATCATTACGACATCAGGCCCAATACACCTCTTCTCTCTTCTAGATACTGTGAGAGCCGGCGGAGGATGCTTCTACACCATGTACACCATGTACTTCAGTAAAGACCTTTAAGTCTTTACTGAAGACTTATCTCTTCAGTAGGTCATATGATTGAGTGTAGTCTGGCCCAGGAGTGTGAAGGTGAACGGAAAGGCTGGAGCAACGAACAGCCCTTGCTGTCTCTGCCAGGCCGGTTCCCCTCTCCACTGGGGTTCTCTGCCTCTAACCCTGTTGCAGGGGCTGAGTCACTGGCCTGCTGGTGCTCTTTCATGCCGTCCCTGGGAGGGGTGCGTCACTTGAGTGGGTTGAGTTACTGACGTGATCTTCCTGTCTGGGTTGGCGCCCCCCCCCCCCTTGGTTTGTGCTGTGGTGGAGACCTCTGTGGGCTATACTCGGCCTTGTCTCAGGATTGTAAGTTGGTGGTTGGGGATATCCCTCTAGTGGTGCGGGGGCTGTGCTTTGGCGGAGTGGGTGGGGTTATATCCTTCCTGTTTGGCCCTGTCCGGGGGTTTCTTCGGATGGGGCCACAGTGTCTCCGGACCGCTCCTGTCTCAGCCTCCAGTATTTATGCTGCAGTAGTTTATGTGTCGGGGGGCTGGGGTTAGTTGGTTATACCTGGAGTACTTCTCCTGTCTTATCCAGTGTCCTGTGTGAATTTAAGTATGCTCTCTCTAATTCTCTCGTTCTCTCTTTCTCTCTGAGAACCTGAGCCCTAGGACCATACGTCAGGACTACCGGGCATGATGACACCCTGCTGCCCCCAGTCCGCCTGGCCTTGCTGCTATTCCAGTTTCAACTGTTCTGCCTGCGGCTACGAAACCCCTACCTGTCCCAGACCTGCTGTTTTCAACTCTAAATGATCGGCTATGAAAAGCCAACTGAGAGACCTGAGCCCTAGGACCATACGTCGGGACTACCGGCCGTGGTGACTCCTTGCTATCCCCAGTCCGCCTGGCCTTGCTGCTATTCCAGTTTAAACTGTTCTGCCTGCGGTTATGGAACCCCTACCTGTCCCAGACCTGCTGTTTTAAACTCTAATGATCGGCTATGAAAAGCCAACTGAGATTTATTCCTGATTATTATTTGACCATGCTTGTCACTTATGAACATTTTTGAACATCTTGGCATGGTTCTGTTATAATCTCCACCCGGCACAGCCAGAAGAGGACTGGCCACCCCTCATAGCCTGGTTCCTCTCTAGGTTTCTTCCTAGGTTTTGCCTTTCTAGGGAGTTTTTTCCTAGCCACCGTGCTTCTACACCTGCATTACTAGCTGTTTGGGGTTTTAGGCTGGGTTTCTGTACAGCACTTCGAGATATTAGCTGATGTAAGAAGGGCTATATAAAATAAAATTGATTGATTGAAAATTGATTGATGTACATGAAGGCTACGAGAAGGACCAATGGGAGGACATTGAGGATTGAGGACACACCTCCTCATCTACAACATGAACTGAATCAGAGAACCTCTTTTCTCTACAGAAAATATTTTTTCGCCTGATTTTAAAAACTTGATGAGTTGATAATTTGAATCAGCAGTCTAGTGCTAGGGCAAAAAAACTAAATGTGCCCCCCTTTTGGGTCCCCAGGACCAGGTTTGAGAACCACTGGTCTAGAGAATCTCTCTGTTCTCTAGTGACCAGAGCTGGTTAGAATCTGGCACCACCCACTGGTGCATCCTCTCCTCCCTCACTGCTTTTGTTTTAATGGAAACTTCAAAAGTTAAATCCTATTTCAATACAGCAGGTAGAATATTAAATATGAACTGTACAACATAAATAAATCAAAGTAAAACAACAAATGCATACAGTGAATTCAGAAAGTATTCAGATCCCTTGACTTTTTCCACACTTGTTACATTACAGCCTTATTCTAAAATGGATTAAATAGTTTTTTCCCCTCATCAATCTACACACAATACCCCATAATGACAAAGCAAAAACAGGTTTTTAGAAAAAAAGAAATATGACATTTACATAAGTATTCAGACCCTTTACTCAGTACTTTGTTGAAGCACCTTTGGCAGCGATTACAGCCTTGAGTCTTCTTGGGTATGATGCAACAAGCTTGGCACACCTGTATTTGGGGAGTTTCTCCCATTCTTCTCTGCATATCCTCTCAAGCTCTGTCAGGTTGGATGGGGAGCATCGCTGCACAGCTATTTTCAGGTCTCTCCAGAGATGTTCGATCAGGTTCAAGTCCGGGCTCTGGCTGGGCCACTCAAGGACATTCAGAAGCCACTCCTGCATTTACATTACATTTTACATTTTAGTCATTTAGCAGACGCTCTTATCCAGAGCGACTTACAGTTAGTGAATACATATATTTTTTTATTTTTTATACTGGCCCCCCGTGGGAATTGAACCCACAACCCTGGCGTTGCAAACGCCATGCTCTATCAACTGAGCTACATCCCTGCCGGCCATTCCCTCCCCTACCCTGGACGACGCTGGGCCAATTGTGCGCCGCCCATGAGTCTCCCGGTCGCGGCCGGCTGCGACAGAGCCTGGATTCGAACCAGGATATCCTGCGTTGTCTTGGCTGTGTGCTTAGGGTCGTTGTCCTGTTGGAAGGTGAATCCTCGCCCCAGTCTGAGGTCCTGAGCGCTCTGGAGCAGGTTTTCATCAAGGATCTCTCTGTACTTTGCTCCGTTCATGTTTCCCTCGATCCTGACTAGTCTCCCAGTCCCTGCCGCTGAAAACCATCCCCACAGCATGATGCTGCCACCACCATTCTTCACCATAGCGATGGTGCCAGGTTTCCTCCGGACATGACGCTTGGCATTCTGGCCAAAGAGTTCAATCTTGGTTTCATCAGACCAGAGAATCTTGTTTCTCATGGTCAGAGTCTTTAGGTGCCTTTTGGCAAACTCCAAGCGGGCTGTCATGTGCCTTTTACTGAGGAGTGGTTTCCGTCTGGCCACTCTATCATAAAGGCCTGATTGGTGGAGTGCTGCAGAGATGGTTGTCCTTCTGGAAGCTTCTCCCATCTCCACAGAGGAACCATCGGGTTCTTGGTCACCTCCCTGACCAAGGCCCTTCTCCCCCGATCGCTCCGTTCGACCTCATGGCTTGGTTTTTGCTCTGACATGCACTGTCAACTGTGGGACCTTATATAGACAGTTGTGTGTCTTTCCAAATCATGTCCAATCAATTGAATTTAAGGGTCTGAATACTGAATAAAAAAGGTATTTCTGCTTTTTATTTTTTTTATAAATTTGCAAACATTTCGAAAAACCTATTTTTGCTTTGTCATTATGGGGTATTGTGTGTGTGTGTGTGTGTGTGTGTGTATATTGATGATGATAAAAAATATATAATTTAATCAATTTTAGAATAATGTAACGTAACTAAATGTGGGAAAAGTCAAGGGGTCCTAATGCTTTCCGAATGCACTGTAATCCTGTCTTGTCTTGTACCATCAGATACCTTCCTTCCTGTTATATCTGGATGTTTTCTTTTGAGTCAGACTTTTATTTTATTTTTGATAAATGAACGTTGTTTTGAACACTGCTTTAACCGTCCTGGCAGCCATGTTGTCTGCTGTACGTCTGAGTGACTGTTGTCCCGGCAGCCATGTTGTCTGCTGTACGTCTGAGTGACTGTTGGCCTGGCAGCCATGTTGTCTGCTGTACGTCTGAGTGACTGAATCGTGAAAAATTAAAGTTGGCTAAAAATGAATAAATATTGATGCTCTTTCTTTTTTGTAAATAAGGTATCTGCATAGGCGTTACAGAAGAAAGAATGGCACGCGTTCGGATGATTATTTTTTTATTAGAAAAATATTCAGAAGAAATATGTATATTTGCTGTGTAGACTCAGTATCTCCTCCGAGTGGAGTGTGTGAATTTGGAGGAGCAAACCCCCCCCCCCCCCCTCCTCCATCCCCCCCCCCCATAACTCTAGAGGAGGAGGCTGAGACGGGTACTGATGATGGAGTCTTCAGTCTTAGGACTTTGAGCGTAGCCTATGGTCAGGATTCAATCAGTGTGGATTTGGACAATGCACCATTTAAAGGTACAGTGGCTTGCGAAAGTATTCACCCCCCTTGGCATTTTTCCTATTTTGTTGCCTTACAACCTGGAATTAAAATGGATTTTTTGGGGGGTATCATTTGATTTACACAACATGCCTACCACTTTGAAGATGCAAAATATTTTTCATAGTGAAACAAACAAACAAAAAAGAACTTGAGCGTGCAAATTCAATACTTTGTAGAGCCACCTTTTGCAGCAATTACAGCTGCAAGTCTCTTGGGGTATGTCTCTATAAGCTTGGCACATCTAGCCACTGGGATTTTTGCCCATTCTTCAAGGCAAAACTGCTCCAGCTCCTTCAAGTTGGATGGGTTCTGCTGGTGTACAGGAATATTTTAAGTCATACCACAGATTCTCAATTGGATTGAGGTCTTGGCTTTGACTAGGCCATTCCAAGACATTTAAATGTTTCCCCTTAAACCACTTGAGTGTTGCTTTAGCAGTATGCTTAGGGTCATTGTCCTGCTGGAAGGTGAACCTCCGTCCCAGTCTCAAATCTCTGGAAGACTGAAACAGGTTTCCCTCAAGAATTTCCCTGTATTTAGCGCCATCCATCATTCCTTCAATTCCTACCAGTTTCCCAGTCCCTGCCGATGAAAAACATCCCCACAGCATGATGCTGCCACCACCATGCTTCACTGTGGGGATGGTGTTCTCGGGGTGATGAGAGGTGTTGGGTTTGCGCCAGACATAGCGTTTTCCTTCATGGCCAAAAAGCTCAATTTTAGTCTCATCTGACCAGAGTACCTTCTTCCATATGTTTGGGGAGTCTCCCACATGCCTTTTGGCGAACACCAAACGTGTTTGCTTATTGTAATGATGTCATTTCATAGTATTGTGAGGACCGAGGTAGAGTTACTAGATAATTGGTTTGGGGCCATGAAGTCTACATTCCTTGTGTCAAGGTAGATTAGCGATGTTTATGGTAGTATGATTGATGGACAGGATGTAATGACTTGGGGCAAAGGGT